GTGCCATTCCCCGGCAACGGCGCCATTTGATAACCGCTTTCGCGGCGTTGTAGTAAAACGGAGTCTAACCTTTCGGTTTTTCCCCGAGTATCGTGTCTCTCGAGGAATGGCGGAGGAGCTTCTTGATTTTAAGTCCAGTCACAGGTTATTGCAAATTATTGGAAGCTTTCCAAATTAAAACTTTTGATTGATTTTCTAAACTACTTTTTGGAAAAGAAAGTAAATTAAATTGTGCAAATACTAATGATGGCTCAAAAATAAACTAAAGGAAAAAAAATATAATATTAAACTTAAATGGATTGATGCAAATAAGGGCAATGAATCGAGTAATTAGAAATGGATATATTCTTGGACCTAGTAATTAGGGAAATTAAAACTAAAATTGGACTAATAATTTCTTTCTTCATAGACAAGAATAGAAACTATTTTCATTAATTTATCCTATTTCTAGGTGTCATTAATGTGTTCAAAATGGTTGGCTTGAATTAAATTCTAACCTCATAGACAAGGTAGAAATAATTCTCCAATATTTTAATTAATAAAAATAGCCAAATTCATTAACTAGTTAAACTCATTATTTAAGCAATTGAATTTATCTCTCATAGACAAGATGTAAATCCCTTTCATTAAATTATCCTATTTCTAGGCCTTATTAATGTGCTTGAATATGGTTGGCTTAAATTATTTTCTAATCTCATAGACAAGTTAGAAATAATTTTCCAAGAATTTAATTAATGAATATGGCTAACAATTATTAATTACTATTTCATCATTTCAAACAACTAGTCCAAATTATGAATTTTAATCCCTAATTTTCGGTCAACAAGTCAATCCATATTCCTTTAGTCAATTCATGCCCAAAACAAATTTAGCTAATAAAGATCATTTTAACAACTAACAATATAATGAATATATTCAACATTAACAAGGAATTAAACATGGATGATAGCAAAACTAATATTCTGCCAAAATAAACTTGTAGAACTAAAATATAACTTTCTAGAATTTTTCACCAATTTTTGAACCTAAAATCCAATTTTAACAACTAATTGATAATTTTCTCAATATTAACTATATTAATATTTATAATTAATTGGAATGAGTTCAATATCAACAACTATTTTATTCAAATTTAAGAAGAAAATGCGAAATAGTGGAATAATTTTCTGGAAATTTTCGAAGCACAGATAGAAAAAACTAAGTACATATTCAGATTCTACTCATTGAAAGGATGAAAATACATATAAAGAACTCACAATTTGGAGCTAAAATGAGAAAGATATGAAAATTTGAAGTTGAAGGTGCAACAATGGTGGAAATCCGAGCTTTGAGGAGGAAGAAGACGCCCTTTTTGATCTGATTTGGGCTTGAAATTGGTGTGTTTGAGATGGGGAAAAAGCCTGCTATTTATAGCAGAAATTTCACCGAAGGCGCCCAAGACGGCGGCCGCCTTCCGTCGGAATCTGGCCGCCTTCCGTAGGCGGCCAACCAGGCGGCCGCCTTTGGTCTCATTTTGGCCGCCTTCCGTCCCGTCGCCGACAGCGGATCGTGGCCGGTCTCGTCAGCCGTAGGCGGCCACAGAGGGCGGCCGCCTTCTGTCAAAAATGGCCGCCTGCCATCTTGTCTGGCCGACCGGTGGTTGGTTTCGTCCCCTTGTGCCGCAGGCGGCATCGTAGGCGGCCGCCTTCTGTCCAGTGTCGGCAGCCTTCGGTCTTTTCCTGGTCCCGAGTCAAAGCGAGGTTGACTTCTGAATTTTCCCGTAGGCGGCCGTGAAGGCCTCCATTTTGGGCGCCTATTTGGGCGCCTTCGGCCACTTTTGTCTAGCAGATGCGGCTTTTCTTGCTCTTCAACTTTGTCTTCTGAATCACCTTGATAAAATGTTTGCTTCTTCCGGTATAAATGCATTTGTCACTCAAATTGACTCATTTTGTGCTCAATTGACCCGAAATCCCGCTAAACATATTATGGATGTGATTTTTACCTGATTTCATGAAACTTGAACCAAAATATATAAAATGTGTCTTTTCTTTCTATTTTCATTCAAAAATCGCTTAAATTTGATAAGAAAAATAAGTACAAAAATGGACTTATCAGAAACTCTTCCTAGAGAGGATAGAGTTGGGGAGGCTCAAGGGTATATTATTAGTATAATCACTCTTGTAATCTTTCAAAGGCTTAATTAGTGAAGTTGTTTAAAATTCCTCCGAGGGAGGTCGAGGTTTTTTAATCGCTTTTGAGCCAAGGGATTTTTCCTCGTTAAATCCTTGTGCACTTTACTATTTCGTAACTCCCCTCTCCCTACACTAGAACTGGGCGAAAAAAAGGGAAAAACTGCCACAGTTTCACACACACACAATTCACCCCCTTGTGTTACACACAATCTAGCATCTCTTTGACTCAATTAATTACTTAAACCATATTAAGATATAAGATTTCATATAAAAGATGATATGAGCTAAATATTCACCTAATATCATAGTTGTAAGTTTAATTTTGTTTTTAATTAAATGATGATCCAATAACTCCCGAGTGCTCAGTGCTTGGTGCCTGATGATTTGTTAAGAAGATTTCTTGTGCATAGTAGTGCTTAGATGGTGAAAATCGAGTGAGTTAATCGAGCGATTCAGATTTACATCTCTTAAGAGTTTGGGTAGATTGATGGAAAGTGAGAACCGGAATTAATCCGGTATAGTTGGAACCGCCTTCTACTGAGAATTAAAAAAATTAAAAAAAAAAGAATTCAACAAACTAACCAATTATTTTTTGATAGATGGCCAGTGTTCCATGATTGGTGTCCCCACATGTGGCACACAGAATTCACAAGGAATGTTGCGTGGCCTACAATTACAATTCTTACTCCCTGTAAAGTCAATAGCAATCCAAGCCTAATATTTTCCTCAATATATTAAATACATCAAAATGATAATTGTTGGGTGTCGATTTCTTTCCGGCTCAGGTCTCCAACCCTTTTGCTATACTCTCACACACCACCCTAGGCTAGACCACAACACAACTCCAAGCTTCTTCTCTACCACTAAGGTATTCTCTCTCACACTCTCACACAAAGGAAATGGAGAAGAAGAAGAAGGGCACTGCTCTCTCTATCATTCACGCAGGCTGCTCTCTCAAGGAAGAAGAAGAGCTACATAAATAATAGGCTTGCCAACAAGAGGACACTCACGGGTGATGCAAAGACAAGGAAAGACTGCAACAGACAACTCAAGATGGGGTCACTCCACATAAGGCAATAGCCATATTATTGGTTAGGAAAGATTCAAACAAGAGGTGCCAAAGTGGGAGTAAACATGGGGTGCAAGTCAATAATAAAATGGAAGGGAGGCCTTGGTAGGACCAATACCTCCAACATTCTCCACCTTATTGGTAATAGGTGGTGTAGAGTAGCAATACAAAGTTGTGAGGAGACTCATCATCGCCGGACCATTACAAGTACATCATTGCGATCATACAAGTAATAGATGAGAACCAAAGTTCCCTTTCGGACCAGCTTACCGTGCAAACCCACTTCACGATGGACTGAACTCTACCAATCGGTCCTCGAGTTCAGAACCAAAACCATCACAAAACTATTAACAAGCACAACACATGTTAATAGACCACGCAAGCAAGCATCCGGGAGAAGTTGGGGATTCCAACTAATCCAACAACCACACATAACAAGCACAAAGAAAATAAAAGAAACAATATTATTTCTATAACTAGCACAGGTAGAGCTCACATAATCACTTGGTATCACATTTTCAAAACACAAAGAAAATAGCATACCAAATATCACAAAGATTTTAATTAAAAGAGAATTAAGCACATTTAAAGCAAACTCAGAGGAAATATAGTCAAACACATTGCACATATAATTTCTCACATGCTTCCTAATGTCTCTATCTCTAATAACATGGCAATCACGCAACTCAAGCATATTGCACACAACATTCATATCATGCTCCACCTTAATAGAAATATTATTTTCTTTATTTTCACCATGAAAAACATTTTCATTCACAAATTTGGGTTTGGTTTCAACAAGTAAATCGGAATGAACTTCAACAGGCAAAAGCTCCACCTCATTTGGAGCAACATCAGGAGAAACAAGTAGGCAAGGAAATTCATTTTCAACAAAAATGACATTTCTACTCATCAACACATTGAAGCAAGTTTCACTCCTACACCAAAGCCTATAACCTTTCATGCAATCATGATATCCTAAGAAAACATATTCCTTAGTCCTAGGTTCAGATTTATCATTCAGACGATTCACATAAGCAGCACAACCAAACACTCTCAAATTTGGCAAGTTAAGTGGTTTGCCCGTGAACACAGATTCAGGGCATTTCCCTCCTAAGGGAACAAATGGGGACAGATTAACCAAATCAACAGCATAACAAATAGCTTCCCCCCAGAACTTATTAGAGAGCCCAGATGAAGCTAACATAGCCCTCACCCTCTCTAATAAAGTTCTAACCATCCTCTCAGCAACCCCATCCGGTTGGGGTGTGGAGGGAACAGATTTATGCATAGAAATACCCCAAGTATCACATAAATCTCCAAGCTGACTATCACAGAAATCAAAACTGACAGTGGTCCTTAAAAAATTAATTTTCTTACCGGTTTGTTTTTCAACAAGGGTTTTCCAGTTTTTAAACTTATCAAAAACTTCAGATTTATTTTCAATCAACAAAACCCACACTTTCTTTGAAAAGTCATCAATAAACGTCAGAAAATAATTTTTCCCACCATGAGTGGAAACACTATAAGGACCCCACAAGTCAGCATGAATACAATCAAGCACATTAGTACACTTAGGTAGATCAGGAAAACCAACTCTAGACTGTTTTCCTAGCACACAGGGTTGCACACAATTCACAGAATCAAATACGGGTTCAGCATGACAAACATACAAGTTGTTTTTCATCTCAGCTTTGAAAACAACTAAACAACCCTTCACAACTTTCATGATTCCCTTTCCCCATTTTCCCTTCAAACCATCATTTTCAAGAGATGCACAAGATAGCAAATTACAACACAGCTCAGGAACATGCCTAACATTCTTCAAAGTAAGCACATAACCAGAAGAAAACCTAAGGCATACATCTCCTATTCCTAGCACATTGCATTTCTTCTCATTTGCTAAAGACACAAAGCCATGCTCAATCTCTCTATAGTTTGAAAAAACATTTTTCAAAGGGGACATGTGAAAACTACAACCAGAATCTACCACCCAATCTGATTTACCCAAAGAATCAGATATCACAGAACTCAAGTAGTCATAATCACATAGATTTGTCATAAAAACATCACCTAAATCATCTACACACGTAGTCAAATTAGCATGCTCACTATGCTCATTTTTCCTAGATTTAGGACAGTCTTTTATGAAATGACCAGGTTCATGACAATAATAGCAACGCCTCGAATTAGACCTAGACTTAGATCTATGTCGTCTACTATTATTTTCTCTACCCCTCACATGCATAACTTCCTCGGATTTTCTACCCTCACCCATCTGTTTTAAATCTAATTCCTTACTCTTAAGACCATTTACCACAATGTCAAGAGTCACATTATCTCTACCATACTTAATAGCAGATTTTACATCACTAAAGGAATCAGGAATAGCATTTAAAAGAGCAATAGGGGAATAATCATCTATATGTTTATCACCACACAACTTAATATCCGAAATAAGTTTGGTAAAAACATCTAGATTTTCTTCAATATCTTTAGACATATCTAGTCTAAATTTGAAGAACTTTTCAAGTAAAAATATCCGGTTAGGCAAAGAGGTTTCGGTATACAGTTCATCTAATTTATTCCAAAGAATTTTAGCACTTTCTAAAATTCCAACTTTTCTAATCACAGAGTCAGATAAGTTCAAATAAATCACAGAACATGCATTTTCATTCATTTCAGCCCTTTTCTCTTCTGTGTCAGAAATTAAATAGGTTTCGCCAACTGCTTTAAAACATTTTTGTTGTATTAAAATACATTTAATTTTTTGCTTCCAAATGCTAAAATCAGATTTTCCATTAAATGGAGCCATACCATACTGATTATAAGCAGACATTTTCACAGAGAAAAAACAAGCAACAAAATAAAATGTAAATTTAGCTGAAAACAATTTAAATATTTATAAGGCTACAACTATACGGAGCAACTAGCACGAACACGTGGGGAGTATTAATGAGCACCAAACTCAACTTCAAACCCCTTGTTCTTCCGTATAAGCACAAATAAATAATAAATTTTCAGCACAACACAATACAACAATTCAAACAATTTTAACAGCAATAATAAACCTAAAACATAATTTCTACACAATTAAAGATTAAAAATCACTACAAAAGCGATAAAAGGGATAAAAGTCAATATACCGGAGCGAAACCCTAGGAGAGGCGTTTCGACCTTACCCACCCAATTAAAAAAAATTGGGATTTTCGGACTGTTGACTGAGAGTTGACCAGCGTTGACCACGTCTCTCGTGTGCTCCAAGTCCAACTCCAATAGTCCAGAAGTCCAGCCGATGCTTCAAGCACAAAGCTTGCTCCTACCAGCCTCTGCTTCAAGTTGACTAGCGTACAAGACTAGCAATCAGGTTTCCAGCAACCCAACTGCCCAGCGGCCCAAGTTTTGCCCTGGTTCAGCAACTCAGCAAAGCAAATGTCGAGCCCAAATCCAGCTGTCCAAAAGCTCCAGCCCACTGCGTCCAGCTATGGTACAGTTCCGTTCCAGAAACTTCAGTGTCCAGGTGCGTCCAAATTTGACCGGCGCAAGTTTGCTTCAATTCGGTCACCACGTTCTGCGGCTCGCGTACTGCTACAGGTTCCAGCTCAGTTTGTTCCACCCCTGTACTCAGCTTCTGCGTCCAACTCCAGTCCAGCGACGAGCCAATTTGTGGGGTGAAGAACCACCTGCGGCAGTGAGCTAGACCCCCAGCGACGGACCTCCCTGCGACGGAATTACAGATCCGACCTAGAGCTCGGCGATGGACGGCGAACCAGACGACGAGCACTTCCTCTCTGCTACTGAAACCTCCAGCGACGATTCCAGGGTAAACGGCGGCTCCGGCGGCGACCTCCACCCACGAGCTCCGAATCGACGAACAGCAGGCAGATTTAGGCGGTTTCCAAGCGAAGGCTTTAGCGACGAGATTCCAGCGAACGACTTCCTGACAGGCGACGGCTTCAGCAGCTACCTCACCGACGGGCGGATTTCCCAAGTGACGACGGCTTAGCTTTCAGCGGCCAGACCTCTGCTTTCCTTCTTGAGCGTCAAGCCTAGCGTCCGGTTCCAGCGTGAAGGCTTCTGCCAAGCTTCAGCGATCAATTTGTGGCCACAGGAGTTCCGTTTCAGGCCTCAATGTTCAAGGTCAGCTGCGCTCCAGCCCAAAACCAGTTCAAATCCAATCCAAAAGCAGCAGTAGGCCAGCCCAAAACTTCACGTTTCTTCTACCCGAGTTCAAGCGGGAGTTCTCAGGCAGATGGCAGCTCCAGCGGCGAACAAATCGGCGAGCAAAGATCTTTCCAGACCTCGAATTGACGGCGGACGGCGGCGGACGGCGGAGCACGGCGGCAGAGACTTTCCAGGTGGCGGAAACCGGCGAAATCGACGGCAACGACAACACAAGCTCTGATACCACTGTTGGGTGTCGATTTCTTTCCGGCTCAGGTCTCCAACCCTTTTGCTATACTCTCACACACCACCCTAGGCTAGACCACAACACAACTCCAAGCTTCTTCTCTACCACTAAGGTATTCTCTCTCACACTCTCACACAAAGGAAATGGAGAAGAAGAAGAAGGGCACTGCTCTCTCTATCATTCACGCAGGCTGCTCTCTCAAGGAAGAAGAAGAGCTACATAAATAATAGGCTTGCCAACAAGAGGACACTCACGGGTGATGCAAAGACAAGGAAAGACTGCAACAGACAACTCAAGATGGGGTCACTCCACATAAGGCAATAGCCATATTATTGGTTAGGAAAGATTCAAACAAGAGGTGCCAAAGTGGGAGTAAACATGGGGTGCAAGTCAATAATAAAATGGAAGGGAGGCCTTGGTAGGACCAATACCTCCAACAATAATGATGAAAACAATTAAAATCACAACGCATGCATACATACCATGCACCAAACTATGTACGGAAATCCACCAATTGCAAAAAGAAATGCTGCAAGCATAATAGGATGTATAATGTAGGTTTTCTGGATAAATTTATAGAAAGCCTGACTCTCTAAATCCGCTACATTTGTTAGCTCTTCACGCTGCAGCACCCACAACCAAATAATATACTACACATAACTCAATTATACACACATTGTTAACTTTATCAATAATTATTTAAGATAATTTGAGGATTATTAATAATAAACTCGTAAATAAATAAGTGTTACCCTTGCTTTGAATCCTTCTAAAATCCTTCAATGGGGCTGTGAGAATCTTTCTTTGAATCAGTATACCGGTGGTGGTATCTATGGTTACTCATCCAACCAATTGGATCCCGCTATATATGATTTAAACCAAATCAAACATTTAAATATTTAATATTGTGCACTTAACAATTTATATGTGCTCATGTTTGTGATTTACCATGAATTCACATATACCACACTGTCCACGCGAAGTACTTTGAGCAAGTAAATGATCATTTGCAACCAATGAACTATATAATAGAATATACACTAATTAACATATCTTTCTTGCGGTGAGATTACTATTTTAAATCTGATACAAATAAATAAGTCCATAAATTTGACAAATTTTAATATTGATTTACAAAACACTTTTTGATTTGGTATTCCTTTGTAGGGTTTAGCTTTTCCGCCGCCTTGGCTTCCAAGGTTGGTGCGGCAGTTTTGCTCTCTTGATTTGGGTGTATTTTTCTGAGTTGTGACTATGATGTTCGTTGATCTTGGGAAGAGTTCTTCATCTGTAGCTGCTAGCATATTAGGCTTTCTATTGATTGTGCTCCTTATGGCAACAGGTCGGGGTGGCAGTAAATCATATGTTGATGCTTGGTTTGGTGGTATTACATGGTATGTAGATCGTAGGAGGTGCTTGTAGAGTCCCCCCCCCCCCCCCATGAACAGCCCCCATTGAAGTACAGTGTGGCTGGGATTTGGAAGACACTTCACGTTTGAATTTGGCCGCATGGTGGTTTATTGCTCTATTTTTCTTTCGAGCTTTTTTAAAACATTTCTCTAGACGTTTTACTTTTTTTATTTGCTTATGTTAGTGGCTTTTTTTAAGTGCATACGGCCGTTATTTGACTCGAAGCTCCCGTATGTTCAGCGAAAAGTTTCGCTCTGTTTTGGGTGAATTTTTCTATGTATGATCAGGGACCGAGAAGACTTTTCGGCTATTTTGATTTTTTTGAAGTGGTACAAAGTACGATGACCTTAAGGATCAGGAAGAAGTCTATGTTACACATTTGGTGGTCAGCAATTCGCGCTGTTTCTTTGGAGGTGACCGTCTCTGATGTAAGTTTTTTTAATGTAGATAGAGTTTGTTAGAAGATAGGTGACGGATCTTGAATTTTTGACCAGTTGTAACCGCAATCTATTGATTAAATTAATATAATTTGACGTTTTCCTTAAAAAAAATGATGGATTTACATAATTGTTAATACTCCGTATGTAACACTCATAATTAATATGCAATCATGTATACACATGAGTTATCAACTAAACTATTGCTTCTTCTACAACGAACAATTTGTGTTGTAGTTAGAGTACAATAGTACATAATAAAATATATAAGAGCGAGGTCATAATGAATTAAAACCTGAAGAGCTTGAACACCTCAATAAGCAAAAAAATACTCGAGCCATTTGGGAAGCTTGAAACTCTTGTGGCATAAATTCCTATGATAGGAGACAGTGATTATTCCGAGGCTTGTGAGGATGTATAACCCAAACACAATCCCAAGAGCATCCCAACTGAAACAGAATGGGGCAAAGAAGCAAATTAAGCAAGTGAAGCAAAGGCACCGCAACACTTAACGTTAGCTTATTATCTGGATCCAAGAATTTGAGTTGCCCTGGGCTAAATAAAAATTATACTAGGTTTAAATATTAGAGGGGTGAGCTAAACATGAAAAAAGAAAAAAAATTACACTAAAAAAATTGAAAATTTTCTAAGTTGCCCTAGACTTCAGCCTACTATAGCCCGTACATAGATCCTCCCCTACTGGCTGGATAATGCACATATACTTTTCCATGTTTGTACTTAGTTAAATTATGTCTATCCCTTCCGAAGCTCACAATACCTACGGTCCTACACTCTATTTATACTAGCACTGAAGTGACTGAACTACTGAAGTAATGTACCCTACCTCACTCATTGAGCAGTCGATACATGTAGGTGGCAAACTCTTAAGCTCTTTCACCACCGTACAAGTTTGAATTGTGCAGATTTAGAAGGAAAAAAAAGGTCCTTAAAAAATGTAATATCTAAAATTCAATATTTGCATCTATATAAGAATGTAGGTAGCTAGTACCATCT